CTTTGTGTTGGGGATTAGGGTTTGGGCTAGGGATTCCCTAAACCTTAAACCCTAAACCCTAAAACCTAACCCCTAAAACCTAAACCCTAAAACCCTAAAACCTAAACCCTAAAACCCTAAAACCTAAATCCTAAAACCCTAAAACCCTAAAACCCTAAACTGCTGCCAGGTACCTCGCTTAGCAGCAGTGGTGCTGCAGCAGACAGTTAGCGAGCTCTCAGAGGTGGTGGTGCCCTTACTACTGCGGGGATTAATTAGGGATTATATAGGGGATATATAGGGGTTATATAGGGGATATATAGGGATTCTAGGGGATATATAGGGATTCTAGGGAATATATAGGGGTTTAAGGTGCAGGGTTTAGGGTTTAGGGTTTCTTAGGAAGGATTTTTCATGTTCATTATGGTATAACCGTAAGGAACTATTAGAAATAGTATAATTATGAGCTCTACCGGAGCATGCTGGCAGTGCTTAAGCAGCAAGGTTTACGACCCAGCGGCTGGTCCATAGGGTTTTGAAGGGGTCGTAGACCAGGACCCTCCTTGTACCCTTAAAATGTGGGTATGTGGTCCCTATCTAGCGCGTATAGAGGGTAGAAGGAGAGTCCAGGATAGGGGCCTATGAGGTTTAAGGGTCCAAGGCCCCCCAAAATCATGCTTTGACTTTTCAGAAAATCCCTAAGCCAACAAACCCTATATATTCTCTAGAATCCTTATATATCCCCTAGAATCCCGATATATCCCCTAGAATCCCGATATATCCCCTAGAATCCCTATATATCCCCTAGAATCCTTAAGCCCTAAACATTGAAGCCAAACACCCAAACCCCAAAGCCAACAAACCCGTAAACCCTCAACCCTGAAGCAAAACACCCTTAACCCTAAACACTAGAAATCACCTCAATATAACCCTAATATAACCCTATATATCCCTTTAATTGGACCTAGGGTTTCCATCCATTATCCCTATATAGAACCCCTATCTTAAGAGCAGATGGCATGTCATCTCTTAGCTTGCCCAGGCCCGTGTTGTGAAGCATCGCCTACCGCTGGGTACTCGGAACATCATCATGTGAGCTACAGTCTAAACTCCTTAAAGAGGGTTATCCAGGGGATTATATATGGGGCTACTATAGGGGTTATTAAGGGGGATACTAGGAGTTTAGACTATAGCTCATGTAGTATGGTATGTTACAAATATTCTGGCAACTCATAGTATGTTCTTGTAGATCACAGTATATGATAGTATATTCTGACAACTTCTTTTTTGGTATACTAAAGTATGATACAATATCATAATGTATGCACGGTGGCAGTGGGCACAACCACGAAAGTTTGTCAGCTCTTTCCTGTACACCAACTTGCTTACTTATACTTAGAGACCCATGAGACTTAGTAACGACTTATAACTGGGCTTATAAGCCTACTTATTCTCCCTAAAGGGGCTCAGGGGTTACCCCGAGACTAAGCAGGGGGAATACACCCAGTCATAGTAAAGAGGTAGTTACTAAGTCCCATGGGCTTCCAAGTAAACCCTAAACCCTAAACCCTAAACCTCCAAGTAGTTGCCTTGCAGGTGGCAGATGCAGATTCATGGGGTGCTCAAACACTACGACCTACCGGACCTTTTGGCAGTGCCATTCCAAGATTGTACATGCGGCGGTTTAGGGTTTAGGGTTTAGGGTTTGACCCTAAACCCTAAATAGTAGCTTCCATTTTCTTTTCCATTATCCCAATAGAACCGCAATATAACCCTGATATATCCCTATATATCCCTTTAAAGGGACATAGGGTTTCCATTTTCTATTCCATTATCCCAATATAACCCCTATCTACTTGCGACCACTTCTCTGGGTTCATTGCTCTTCATGCGCACTGTCCAGTTGGCACCGGTTCGGTTGCGAGTTGATGTGGGACCTTCCAAGAGAAGTGGTCTTAAGTAGGGGTTTATATTGGGGTTCTATTGGGATAATGGAAAAGAAAATGGAAACTACTATTTAGGGTTTAGAGTCAATAAACCCTAACCCCTAAACCCCTAAACCCTATGAAAAGCTCAGATGTCTCAGCCACTGATCTGAGGCATTGCCAAGATCTGTATGGGCTGCAGTGGCCAGTCCACTGGGTGCCAAGCGGCAGCGCCTGCTGTTGCCTTAGCTGAGGGTTTAGGGTTCAGGTTGTTCAGGGTTGAGGGTTTAAGGTTTAAGGTTCAGGGATTAGGGTTTAGAGTTTAGGGTCTAGGGTTTGGGAGTAGGGTTTAGGGAGCAGGGTTTAGGGTTCAGGGTTTAGGGTTTTGAGCATGGTGAAGCACTGGGGATCTTCGGGCGTGATGCGCAGCCTTGGAAGACTGCGGTTGCATGCGGTTGCGGATTTTGATGGCATAGGTCATGGAGACGAGCGTGGCGAAGTTATCGCCTTGCCGGACGGGGCCTATCAGGCCAAAAGAGGGGTTTCCCAAAATCCGGGATACCTTCTGTGGGCCCCTATAACAAGGATTATCTCGTTTTGGGCCTATACTGGAGTTTCCTCATTTTAGGGAAACTATCGAATCCACACAGCTTTTTCCGTTGGCGTTGTCTGCCTGCACATCTGGGGCTCTTCTTAGCTCACAGCAGGCATGCAATACTAACAGTGCTGGCATGAGTACGCTGAGTACTAGCACACCTGCCATTGAGATGAAGGGTTTTAGGCCGTTTAGGGGTTGGGGTTTAGGGTCACAAGGGTTTAGGGTCTGCTGCAAGCTTCTGCAACATCTGCACTGTGAACGATCAAATTGAATGCAAACTGCTTGTCCCAGTTGCATGCCACAAGCAGGCAAGCGACTGCGACTGCTGTTGGGTGAGGGCCCTGGAAGGAAAAGCCGCAGAGCTTTCAGAGTGAGACTTCAGGGGAAACGCGTCATCACGTCATGCAAGGAATCTAATACCTGCATAATCCCCATATCGTACATTCCTTAAACACTAAACCCCGTAAGTCAACAGCTGTATTGCCTGCAGAGGTCAGGATGAGGGCACTTCCGTGCAAATTGCCAGATTCCTGGCTCAGCGGTTGTTCGGAGGTGGCCTTTTGTGCGAGTTTGTCTGGCAAATTGCTGGTTATGCAAAAAATTCTGCGGTGCATTTCTTGCTTCAAAATGCAGGTGGTACGTAGATGTGGTCGCTGGAGGCTCAGTTTGGCGTGATGCAGAACTGAGCAAGCATGGGCAGACCTTGTGAAATCATCGCCTCATGTCGCTTCTTGTTCCTTAAGCCCCAGCAAGCAAGGCACGGATCATGGCCGGTTGCTAGGATCTAAGCTAGGCACTGAGAAAGGACTAACGCGCACAGAGCCTTCGTTGAGCAGCAGACTTTTCTGACAATTTTGGCATGGCAGCGCCGGCAAGTCTCTTACAGCGGCGCCGAAATTCTGGCTCGCGAGTGCTGCCGGTTCCTTTGACGTTGGAGCCCAAGCCCCACGGCCGCACTACGGTAAAGTGCATGTGAGCCGTCAGCGTGGGATGCCTGTGTCCCTTCATATTTTGGTGCGCTTGTCAACACCAGGATCACGCATGTGCGGCCCCCCCCGCCTCTGCCGCCACTTTACTTTCATCATCTTTCATCATTCATGGTCAGGATGATGGTCATCATGGTCATGCATCTTCTCCTCTTCATGAATATCATCGCCACTACCATCCTCTGTGTCCTCATTTGAGCCAGAATCTAAACTCCTTGAAGGGGGGGTTCAATAGGGGAATGTCTAGGGGACGATTAGGGGTTATAAAGGGGGATACCAGGAGTTGAGGCTATAACCTCTTTAATCACCTATGTAATCCCAGTTTCCAGTGCATTTTCCATTTTCTTTTCCAGGTGCAGCTCCGGTGCAAGTGACACTGGACTTGATCCTTGCCACAAGCTCTTTGAAAAGTACGATTTGCTGGAGCGGCTGGGGCGGGGGTCCAGTGGACAAGTCCTCCGCGCCCGGCGCAAGGAGGACGACAAGGAAGTGGCCCTGAAGATCATGTCAGCAACCGGTCCAGATGTTCTTGCTTCCCGCCGAGCAGAGTTCGAGATCCTACAGAACCTGAGACATCCTAACATCGTTCAAGGACTCGAATTCCTATGCTCAGACACCACGGCAGTCGTTGCTCTGAGCTACCACGCTGGCAGCACGCTCTACAGAGCTGTGCGCGAGTCAGCAGGAGGATGCCTTGAGGAGGTAGCTTCGCAGCGCCTCTTCAAGAAACTGCTCTCAGCTGTCT